TGGAGCACCAGCTATCTGCTAAAAAAAGAAACATCCGTGGGATTTTATAAAGCCGTGACTTTGTTTCCAATTCAGATCCATATTGCTTCCCGCGCATCCGAGAAACGCCGAGGGCGCAGTGACACATTCTTGCGGAAGATGTTCTCGAAGATCCGGGCGAATCTTCAAGAACATCGTCTCAAGAAGCATAATCGTGACACGAACTGCGGGAACTGTAAAATTCTGCAGTCCGCCGTGTAGAAGGCGAAGAGCGATGACGAAAAAGACGGCGGCGTCGTCGCGAAGAATACATTCCCGATACATATCGCGAAACGCGTCGCCATATAACAACATACGTATCGACTATGTATCGACACGCTGACGTAAAATCCTAGTTCCGATAAGATTGTGTACACGTGACTCGAAAATGTAAGCAAGCCTGACTGCATAGTGCCGCTTTCTTTCGCCCCGGCGAGTTTCACTCCAACGATACGACCTGCGCTCAGTGCTAAACCGAAGAAGACCGAAGATCTTATGGTATAATGAACAATGAATCCGCGGATTTACGGCAGCGAAGGATCCAATCAGCCACATAATCCGACAGAATCAAAAATCTGTGTATGTCAAATCCGAGGATTTAGAGTCCCGAGATCGTTCCAAAAGCTATTTCGATCGATAAATATTGCAGTGTAAGTTGCGCGGTAAATAATGTTTACGCTCAGACGCAACCGAGTCTTCCAAAATTCATGAAACATCACACACGTTTGAAGTAACGAGTTATTATTATCGTCATACGATGAAGTAATCCATCTACAGAACAAGGAGAATATTCGCCGCAACGACGAAAGCTAATTTTGCGGCAACCGTTGTATTATTTCGCGCTAATAAGGGTATTATCGCACGAGCTGGTCGAAATAATTCAGCGTAGCTTTGATACACCGTATCGTCGTGGTCCTTCCGATGTTAAAATTAAACAATCCTGAAACGTTCCATCACTTGCCAGCTACGACTAAAGAGCTGTCACAGTCGAAACGGGTGAGGTTTGAATTACTTCGTGCATATGTGAAAATCTCACTGAGATATCGTCGCTTAACATCTAATATTAATAGTATTCGTTCATAAATCGCTAGCTTCATCTCGAATCGTAGATAAAAGTTGTAACTTTCTCACGGTGTTCGACAACGTATCGTTGCATTTGGAATTTTGCAAATTATGATTCCACAAAAATGCAAAATGCAGCGAGTATAAAAATTGGAAAAAAAAATGAGCGGAAAACACAATCGGCGAACACCGTGCGAAGGTCGAAAAGGGAGAAAAATGATCTGGAAAAAAAAAAGAAAGATAGACGGCTCGGTTAACACACAATTATGTTTAATCAAAAAATTAGTATGAAATACATTAAATGCACATGTGATTAATTCTCCATTTTCTTGTTTATCATCATTATCATCATTATCATCATCATCATCCGTATTATCTACACTACAATTAAAGATGTATATAATAATGCAATTGTAAACATAAGAGACTTTATGTTAGAATAATCATAAGGATAAGAATATAATCGTAATAACAATAAGAAGTAATAATAAGAATAAATTCTCGTAGTAAAACCGATTAACGCCTTAACTATTTCATTCCCTTGATCGGCATGGTCAGAAGTTCCTCTGCGAATCTTTCTTTTTCTCCTTTGCTAAATATTGTACGTTTCAAGCCAAACAGTTGTTTACAGGTGTAATCGAGAGGCATCAAACTTTCGAGCGTATCCCGCTGCATCGTGAAAAAACCCAAACCAACCGTCGACGGTCATCGCGATCGCTCTCGCTTTCGCCCTCGAAAGACGACAAACGACGGCAACGATGACGACACGATCGCGCGCGGATACAAATCGAAGCGCTTGTTTGCCTTCGTTCGCGAACTTTATTTGTAAACACCAATACCTGAAGCCCGGCGGGTTTGACTTCTTTTTTTTTTTTTTTTTTTTTTTGTTCTAACTGTTTAATCGATCGCTTTTATATAGTAATATATAGTGTCCCCGTAAGTAACTGCACTGTCGAAAAGTGTAACGAACCATCGAAACGAGTAACAACGGTGAAAGGAAAGAAAAGATCGGAAATAAGGAGTCGAAACTGTAGTTCGGCGAAAAGAGGTGATTGAAAGGGGAAGGCAGGGGGCAGGTTCGACGACGGATAAAAACAGAAAGGAAGATACGAACAAAGTGCAATATATTAACACACGCTGACGAAAGATTTGCGATCACGTTGATTACGACTTGATCGATCAAATAGGCTTGATCGCTGAATCGTGCCTTCGACAGAACGTACGGACGCTTTGAGCCTTTGTGATGTGTTGAGCGCAACGGAACGGCGACGCAAATGTTTCTTCGACGTGTGTCGAAAGAGGAGCGAGACGACATGTCGGAAAAAAAGGAAAGACATTAATCGCGATTTGGTTTCTTCTTACACACACACACGCACGCACGCACACACGCACGCATTCTCTTCCTCTCTTTCACTTTCTTTTATTTTCGATCTCTCGCTCGCTCTCACATTATCATACAGCACACGGAAAATGCAACGGATAACGATTTTCTTCCTCTCGCCGTTCGTTCATAACGTCGAATCTATTTTTAGAGGCTCGTTTTCTATATTTACACGCGCCGTGTAAAATCACAACTTTCAGTCTGACAGTCGCGCCGATTCATATTTTAATTTATTTTACTTTAATTTTTCTTCTTTAAATGATGAGTAGAACACGCTCAGTATTCTCGCGGGGAACACTGATCCCCTATATTTAGTTACGATTTACAATTATTACAGTTTATTCATCCCCCGAGAAAAATAACAAAATGTATATATATATATACATATATATATTTATATATATATATTTATATATATATGAAGATAGATATATATACATATATCGTGTGTGTGTGTATATACATATATATCCATAGTTAATCCGTAATTTGTATATATTATTATATAAAGAGATATTAATATAATAGTACTTTTTTTTATTTAGTTTAATAATGTACAAAGGGGGCAGGAGGCTGTCGCTCGGTGGCGAAAAAAAAACAACAAAACGCTTAAACGCGCTCCTTATCCTATCAGCTAAGCCTAATCCCTAGGTAACGCCTATTTAACTACACTCATAATGTTCACTTGCACAGCCATAGTTTTTTTCTTCGCTTTTCTCGCACTCAATCCTCGATCGTCTTAAAACGTCTCCTCGTCGGCCCGATTCACGCGATCCTCGTTCAGGTTCATTCGCGCCTCGCTGCCGGCGCAGCTGAGGTTGAGGCAAATTGTGTAACACGCAATAGTTGAGTCAAAGGAGCACGAGAGCAATCGTTAAACGGAACAATAAACCGATCGAATGAAAGAGATCCAACTTATTTGAAAATTTTGAGATGTCGCCCAATTTCGCGCCGGAATCTCCAGAAACAATGAAATTTTCTTAAGTACTTGATGTCGACGCGAGCAAAGAGTGCAAACCGATCTCGCTTCGCTCTCATACGCGCGTGAAAGTGCTCGCGCACTCGAACAATTGACTCCGGCGATTTGCACGTCGCTGTCGAGTCATCGCATTCCGCGGATCGCGCAACCGAAATTCGATCGTCGCTCAATTACGCGCGTTCACACGCCGTGCTTGAATCGAGTGAATCTGCCCAGGCGCGACGGGGATTTCAGAAATTCAAGAGAAACATTATCCACTCGTTCGCCATATCCTCTCGTCCCCGCCACTGAAAGTACCCGGAGAACGCAACGTCCGTCGCGCGACAGCGCCATGCCCCGCATTTTTACTATCGCAATATTGCACGATTTTTTTTTTTTTTTTCATTAAATTCATCTCAATTTCAATAAGGTGTTAGCACCAATCTATTATATCACAATGTTCCACTCCACACCACGCAATTGTAAATATATAAATACCTATACGTAGTAATAATAGTAATAGTGGTAGTAGTAATAGTAGTAATAGTAGTAGTGGTAGTAGTAGTAATAGTAAATAGTAGTAGTAGTAGTAGCAGTAGTAGTGGTAGTAATAGTAGTATATCGTATTAATTTCCGTTTAATTAATAAAGATTTCGATATAACAGCCAGGCGACCCACGGCCGAGTTAAACGACGGGCGCGTAGGTCGATTCAACATTTTGTGAAATGGTGTGTGCCGAGTATTTCCCTCTTTTTTTTTTCACCCGCCCCCCCCCCCTCCCTGCGTACGCTCCTCTCCTTCGACATTTTGCGTGTCGGTGCACGCGCACTTTGTCCGC